AAAAAAAAAAAAAAAAAAAAAAAGGGGGGGGGGGAAACAAGAAAAGACCCTAAGAATGATATTGAGGTTGAAATTTCTTCTACTGATTTATAAAGTACATTACAGTTGAACTGCACCAAAACACCAAGGAATCAAGTATAAAGAGTGATTGCCTGGAACTAGCATGGCCTAATTTTGTAATCTATGTCTAACTTCAGCAGTTTGATGAGTAATCTTTTTAGCTATGAACTTACATAATGCTGTTTTGGTGAATTAGAAGGGATGAACCTTGAGTTCAGACCAACATTGCTTTGCTATATCACTAAAAATCTCTTTGAAGTTAACTAGACTAAAAGCAGCTATGGCTGGGGGGAAAGTTTCATCTTAAAATCATACTCCTGGGAAAGCCTCAGTGAAGTCTGAATGAGGTTGTTTAAGTAAATAGGCAAACACAAATGAAGGCAGAAATACTTCTTCCACATGTATAGCCTCTGCAGAATTTATTATTCTCTAAGACGAAGCCTATAAAACAGCAAAGGACCTGGTAGTATTGAATTATTATTCAGTACATGTAATGGAACATTCACCACAGTATGGAATAATTTCAATGAATGATTATAAATCTATGAGATTCATAATGGTAAGAAAAAATCCCAATGAGTTGAACAAACAATTTCTTGATATGAATGCTACATTAATAAGAGGAGAGAACCTTTTGGATGATATTTGGACAAGACCAAAAAATTTGTTTAAAAGTATATGTCAAAACCCCCACAATCTCATCTCTCTCTTACATTTACATGGTAGAATCATAGAATCATAGAATGTTTTGGGTTGGAAGGGACCCCTAGAGGTCATCTAGTCCAACCCCCCTGCAGTGAGCTAACTAGATCAGGTTGCTCAGAGCCCCATCCAACCTGGCCTTGAATATTTCCAGGGAGGGGGCCTCCACTACCTCTCTGGGCAACCTGTTCCAGTGTTTCACCACCCTCATTGTAAAGAATTTCTTCCTTATATCTAGTCTAAACCTACCCTGGTTTAGTTTAAAACCATTACCCCTTGTCCTGTCATAGCCGGCCCTACAAAAAAGATTTTCCCCATCTTTCCTATAGGCCCCCTTTAGGTACTGAAAGGCTGTAATCAGGTCTCCCCGCAGCCTTCTCTTCTCCAGGCTGAGCAAGCCCAACTCCCTCAGCCTGTCCTCGTAGGAGAGGAGCTCCAGCCCTCGGATCATTTTTGTAGCCCTCTGAGATAGCCTTTTGAAATGTGTTTTAGAGCTTTTAATTGCCACTGCATGTGTCTTTTCATGTGATTTTTCTCATTTGATTTTTTCCTTGCTTCTTCTATATCATACTCCTATCCAAGCCAGTTTACTTACATGTTGAAATGAAATTTTTGCACAGTGGATAAGAACCTTTTCCCTCTTCCTTGCTGATGTAAAACATCCAACTGACTTGTTCATGCAGGAGCATCTTTTCATACTTGCCAAAGCACAATGCTTTTTCTGCATTAAAGTCAATGGCTTTGAACCCTCTTTTTTTATCTTGTTGGCACTGGAAAAAAATTAAGGTAAACACAGAGGGATGTAGGTTTGTGTTAGGGGTAACTTTAAACACAGACTAGGTGGTTTATATGTATCAATATGAGCAGTGTTCTGATCCTGAGGATAGTTCTGCTGAGTGGACAAATTACACTGACAATGAACAGTTACACTGTGAAATCTGAAGTCTCTTACACTCTGAAGTCTCAGTGGAAGGAAGCAGGCTAGAAGATGCCAAATTTGTTACTCTAGCAAAGAGGAAAAGAGACAGAGGCAAGAAGGATGGGAAGGAGTTGCTGAAGAATTTGAAGAATAGCTACTTGGTTGCCTCCAAGGGTTTCATCCCTCAGTTTGTGCAGATTCATAAACATAGCCCAGTTTGAAGTTGAGGTGAATATGCATTTGTTAGTACAAGATTAATTGCTTTGGAACACTGAATCTTTTTAATATAGAGTTAAGAGTTGCTTTTTCTTGCATAAAGGATACGAGTGAAGTGTATTACAAGGGCTTCATACATCTTACTATCTGTACATCACATCTCATTATCTGCAAAAACTTCCAGTTGGCAATTAGCATCTGCAGTTTTATTTAAAGTTGATCATCGGGGTAATTCTCTACAGTGCAGTGCTGGTTCTGCTTTTTGTTGGCTTGGTGTGGTCACAAGACAAAACTTTCTTTGGTTTTCAACAGAGAAATAAAAATGTTTCTACTGAGAGACAGAAAGACTGTTTCTCAATCTTCTGTTGAGAAATAGAAGCACCCAGGAGTTCAAAAGCAACTGAAATGATACGGCTGCTACGAAGCAGCACCACCATTTTGTTTGGATCTCCCACCCACAGCCATGGGAATGTGTCAGAACAGAAATGTTGCG